AACATCTGTGAAAAAGAGGTATGAAACCAGTTAAACCAGCGCAATTGTCATTCATCATTCTTCCTCTTTACTGCCGTTGTTAAGAAAGTGGTACATGTCGTACTTTTAGCTGAACCGGTGTGTGATTGGGCCGCATAGGCCTCTTATGTGGGGATTGGATAAGAATCTCTTGGACCGCGTTCATACTTTTCGAACGTAGAGAATCCGCGATATGGGAGGATCAGCAACAAAGGATTAGATGGAAATCGGCTGAATTGCGCACTCCCCCGAGTCGATGATTATTCGGATCGATTTTCCCCTTTCCGCATACTTTTTCTTTCGCGAATTTCTATTGGAGATTGATAACAAGCTACTACGCGCCAGTCTCGGATTCGGCTTCCGCCAAAGCCAATCGAACTTTTTACCCACCCCCGGGAGCGGTAAAATCATCAGGGAGATTGAAATACTAACTTGTACATCGGCAGACCCTCGCAAGTCATCTACAAGCCACGCCGCATTCAGCAAGCCACTACGATTTTTAGTGGAAGTAGAATGCGTGCGCATCCCACAAAGGGATTGATGAACGGCGAAGACTTTATCCTTATCCTTTGTCCATACTCATCAGGTCATTGTGGCCTTTCACAGCGGACGATGACTCTGAAAAAAACCCGCTGTTCCGGGGATTAGTGGCTTTCTCATGTTTTATTCTGAATAATTATGAAAAGGATTACTTGTTTTTAGGTTGTGACAGCTTTCTTTGTCGTCGCGCTATCGGTTGCTTTGCTCTCTATTTTTGTCAGCGCTTGGAGGTTGACTGGCCGAAGACCGTTGTTTTACGACCTTTTCCTTGTCGAAATACACTCATGGGGTGCAAGAAGATTTGTGCAGGTTGGTGTACGTTTTGTTGTCGTGTAAGCATTAGCAAAGTAAAAAGTCTTGAAGAGGAGGCGTTCAAGTTTTTCTCTTGCACGAACAAAATGTAATATTTATGCTCCGTTCAATTTGCTTTCGCCACTTAGATCATGGAGAGATCTCCCTCGATTAAGCACACTTTCGCCTAAACTCGGTGTTCGCTTTTCAAATGTGCCCAAGCCGGCTTTTCTGCACTCAGCTATGATTTTGCTTCTTATTATTTTGTGGGCGAAGTTTTTCAGAACCCACCAAAAACTAGAAATTTATATGGTATCCAAGCTATAAACAGCGACATTTGTTTCACTGTATCTTTTATAAGAAGGATCGTTCATCGTCTCAGGGCAGTTGTCAACCGGGAAGTCTCTTCTCTTTCCTTTTTTCTTCCTCCTTCCTTCTTTTCCTTCCTTCCTTCTCTGATCCCTCCTCCTTTACCTTCTCCCTTCAGCTACTGGACTGGTAGATGCCTCGTGAAAATACCCCTGGACCCTCGCAGCGAGAGCACGTCTGGTTGACATGTGCCCCGTAACCGCTCGTTCATGCCTCTTGAACGTCCGAACGTTTTGGGTAATAAGGAGAGTAAAGTATCGATCTAGTGTTGGAGCTTTTCGCTCCCAACTAGATGAGCTAGATCGTTACCAAAGGTTTTCGTCTGCTCAAAGCGCTAGTGTTTCTCCCAAAACTCCTGAAACGCTGACATTTCTCCTTAAATAGTCAAAATGCTAGATCGATACCCATGTTTTCCTTTACTTCTAAAACGCTCTTAACGCCGATGAAAAGTATGAGTACAGCCTCAAAATACCGTGGGATTTTCTCATCTAAATGATTCCAATCCAAAGTTTTCAGTATCCAAAGAAAATGTTCCGGTAGTTTCATAGTAACCGGCAATGTAGGAAAAAACATAAAACTCCATTTTACAGTCCTTTAGGAACACTCGTCAACCAAGAAAGTTGAGTGCTTAACAAATCAAAATCTTTGCTTGCCTCGAGTTCACAAATACAATGCAATTTTAAAGTTTTCTTTCAGCAGAAGCCCAATAGTAGTTCTATTCAACCTTTTTATGCAATTTGTTTTTATAGGTTCTACAATTGGGTCAAGAGTTCCGTCCCCTGGGATCATGGAGTGATGTGATGGCACGAATGCGGTCACGGGCACGTTCTCAAGTCCAAACGAACACAATAGACGCGCCTGCTGAATCCACTATTGCATTTGATACCAATGTCGTCATACAGTCGCCTGCCACAGTAATGGATGATTCGACGGCAAGGTACTTTACCTCTACAATACGGTATCTGGTAGTAGACACCTGTTTAGCACTGGGTACCAAAGCGTGGACGAATTGATGTTGTGGTTGTGTTGCATTTTTACTTTTTATGACTTAGAGTTTCAGCATCCCTCCACCTTCTTCGTCCACGCTTTGGGAAATCGAAATGCCAGTGGCGACTACGGGAAGTGGAGGAAGTGACGTATCACATGAGAGCCATTTTGCTGCGGCTGCTGCCATCGCGGTGTTAGGACGAGGGTGGGCTTACAGTCTCGCTTTCCGATAAGCATTAAACTGGTATCTGTTATCTTGAAGTAAAATTTTTGGTTGTGTGGACCTAGGCTCTTTTCTTTATAGATTCAGATTCCTACATTCAGTTCTTATTAAAACGTGTAATTTGAATGTAAATTACATCTAATAATGTCCTGGTACGATCTTCTTGAAATCTTAACATTTTTGGTTGTGTTTTTATGCGGCAGAAAGGCTCGTTGAAACGATTCTTCTTATTGTCGGATACTTCCTACCGAACTAAAGGCACGCTTATACTTCGCGATCGCGCAGTTCAATCGCAGGATCCGATCGCTCAATCGAATCGCGCGATCCGAAGTGTGAACGCGCTCTAATATTTCGAAGACCTAAAATGGTACGTTTGCAAGTAGGGCAGAGGAAAATCTGTTCTTTTCCTTAACAAACCTTCTACGAAATGACAAAAGCACACGCATCTTTCGCATCTTTCTCCTGCTCAATGATTAGTGAATTATCGGTTCAACCTCAGATCCATTTTTATGATTT